AGCACATCTGTCTTACCTCCTACTGTAGTTTTGTTGGGATTCAGTGTTGGACCTTAAAGAGAAAAACACAAGTAATTATCTAGATGGAAAATGCTTTTGTGATGCAGATTATCTGAGGTCACACACATCTGAATCTTTCTATTCACGTCCTGACAGGATTTTGAACTCTCAGCTGTCTCAGTTAAATACTTTAAGCAATGGTAAAGGAAACATTGCACCTTCGTCAGAAATAACTTTTTGTGATGGCAAGTATGAAATTACCACCTTTTCCCTCCTTATTTGCCTACCTCAGCAACTCCTACTTAAACTGACATCACCTCAGTTTGTCGCACACAACTAGTACAAAAGAACTTTGCTTCCCAGGATACCGCTATAAATCACATGCGCACTTGTACTTTTATAACAACTCAAATGGTCGCAAATGTTTACTTACTTCCGACAAATAGGTGCATTGTAAAAGGGTTCTTGCCACAGTCATTTACTGCGACACAGGTGTAGAAGCCGGTGTCCTCTTTCTTAGCTCTTTTTATCTTTAGGTATCTGTAGACTTTTAACCTCAGTCGTTGATGACTCGATGGACTGAGCGTCTGATTGTCTTTGAGCCAGTAATACCTTGGTTTTGAGGTCTGACCAACGGTTCTAATCTGGCAAGTGAGTTTAACGTCCTCTCCGCTGGTCACCTCGATGACTTTTATCTCGTTTCCTTCCTTTTCATGAATTTTAGGAACTGAAAAAGCAGCAAAATTTTTGTGAGTTCAACCCGAAATACCAAAGATGCCCTTCCTGATCCATCACTAAGATTCACATTACTCGAACACCCGCAATTGCAATATTAACGCTTACATACTAAATTCAGTGTTCTTACTAACAGCTCCCTCATCAGGCGAGCAAACGCGGAAACCCTGACATAACTGTGACGCATCTATCAGCTGACTGCGTCACTTTCCATCGCCGATACTATCATAATTATATACTGACTGACAGGTCACATTTCAGAATATACGTTATGAAGTTCACATACTTCCATAAACACCGGTAACCTGCCCTGTATGATGATTTTTCCACTTCTGTCCATTCCAGTTTTCCAATGAAAGAAAATTCGTAAGTCCTGGTGTTGTACGTTAATAATCTAAATTCACGTTATATCAATCTTTATTCCATGTACCTGAT